TCAAAAAATATTTTATATTTTTTAGTTAAGGGGTATAATATTAAACTGGGTAAATATTTTAAAATACATGCACGCCAACACTAACTAGAGTGGAATGATCAATAGAACTGCTTTTTTTTGAGTGCAATGAGATATTCAATAGCAATGAGAGAAAAACTGTACAAGGTTCCTGAGAGAAACACTAAAGCAAAACTCAAAAAATTACATCAAACATGTATAAGTGAAAAAGCATCTTAAAGTGTGATTAACAATAGCACCAATTTGGGAGAGCATACTTGTAGGGATAAAAACTTCATCAGTGAAAATGCGTCTGTTCCTTATATTCCAAAGTTTTCAACAGGTAATACTTAGCTCAATCTTCCAAAAAATATTCAGTTGAGAATTATGCAGGCACTCTATGAACCAAGATTGTAAATCTTTCTCAAGAAAATCAATGTAAATGTCGATCGGAAGTATTTTTCTCCAGACAGATGTAGCAAAAGGACAATCTCTGAGAGCATGATTGATATTTTCAATATTAGAATTGCATAAAGAGCAACCTTGAGTCAGGATCATCGTTCTTCGGTGTCGTTCTGAATTAGTAAGGAGTCTACCCTTTAACATTAACCAAATAAAAGCACGAACCCTCTGAGCCATTGATAGCTTTCACACTTTAGACCAGGTCTTATCAGTTAGATTTCAATCTTTGAGTTGAGTTGTGCTTTAAACTATGATCCTAATCCAGAATGGCCTACTAGACTATTATAGTAGAAGCGTAGAAGGTCTCGTCTTTACAGAATCAAGGAATATTCCTTCTTGGTTATGAAATGTATGGATACATGTACGACTCTCGCTTCAATGATATTATAAAAACACACTTTTCATCTTAAATTATAGAATATTTTTTTAAAAAAAATTATTTTAAAATATAAGACACTTTAAATATATTAAAATTTTATTAAATATATTAATTTTAATATTATTTTTTCTCTCTCTATAATTAATTTTCATCCTTTCTCTTTTTAATATAATAAATGATGGGTATTTTGAAAAGTTTATATTTTTATTTTGAAAAGATAAGGTTGTTAAATATATTTAATGAGATTTGTTGGTATGTAAAATTTTGTCTAAAAGTGTCTTGTAATTTAAAACGGATGAAGTACCTTTTTAAATTTTCATGATAAAAAATAGAAAAAATTAATCTTTTAGTCCTTATAATTTTAACTTAATTATAACTCAATATCTAACTTTAACTTATTATAATCCAGTCCCTAAAGTTTTGACTTAGTTGTAAATTAATCCTTAAACTTTATTTTTTTAATTTAGTCCCTGAAGTTTTAACTTCTTAAATATTGATCCTTGTATTTTAAAAAATAAAATTATAAAGATTAAAAATATTTTAAAATTTATTACTAATATTTTAAATTATTAAATCCTTTTAATTTTTATATATATTATAAATATAAAAAATTTTAAAATATTTTTAATCTTTATCATTAAATTTTTTAAAATATAAGGACCAATATTTAAGAAGTTAAAATTTTAAGGATTAAATTATAAGGGAAAAAGTTCAGGGATTAATTTATAATTGAGTCAAAATTTTATAGACTAAGTTATAACGAGTCAAAGTTGAGCGACTGAGTTACAACTGGATCAAAACTACAAGGACCAAAAATATAAAATATTTTAAAATATAATTAATATGATTTTTTTAAAATATTTTAAATTAGGAGTGTAACATAAGGTTTTTATTTAAGATCACTTATTAAAATAAAACATAAAAAATGTGATTAATTAACTTATTAGAAGTGTAAATTAATTAAAAATATTTTATAATATTGAATTGAGGGAATGTAATACTCCCTTAGTTAAAAATGTAAGACATTTTTTGAAGAGTTGAATTTTAAAAAATGTAAGGTATTTTTAATTTTTTAAGGTGTAATCATTGTCTTTTTTTTAACAAGTACCTCTATCAATGGCTGTCTTTATATTTATTGTAGGATGTTTAATAGAGATAAATATGAAAAGACAGAGTTAGTTTAAAAGTAAGTAACTACTTTATTAAAGGGTGAGATTCGATTAAAAATATCTTATATTTTTTTAATGAAAGGAGTATTCATCATGGTAAAAGAAACTATAATATTCAGTCATTTGAATGCCAAAGTTTCTAAATTTTATTGACAAGAAAACCATATTATTGGTGGCTTGAATAAGTTCAAACCAAACATCATCTGTTCATCCAAGTCAATTTTGACCAGAAAACTGATGGGGCATACAGAACTTATTTTCTTCGGGCAATAATTTGAGTAGATGTTACTCCCTTCAATCATAAATATAAACATGAGAGTCTGTTAATAAATTCATATAAATTAAAAAAAATTAAGTTAGCTATTTGTAAAGAGTAAGTGTTGATTTTCTTGACGGACTCGTCCTTTTAATAATTTAAATTGGAGAATATTAACATAGCTTATATATCATATAAGAATCTTATTATAGAGGTAGCCTGATAAAAATAATAAAGATGAGAGATAAATGAGATTAAAATCTTACATCTAGGACCAAAACAAGCTCCCAACTGGTTTTCACATTTAGGACAGGAGAAAGTATTATTTATTTACAATAAAAAAACATTTAGAGGTTAATTATTTGCAAGGTTTAGTTGATATGAATTTTTCCTTGAAAAAGACTAAACTAGTCGTAATTGTTTCTCTCGATTCAAGAAAAATGATTAGATACTCCTGAGCTATAAGTACTTCCTTTATCTTGTATTTTTAAATTTAGATGATTTTTATTAGAAAAAAATAGGGTTAATATGTAATTTAAATCCTGAATTATAGGTCCATAAAAGATTTGAATCTTAAACTTTTAATAGGTATATTTTAAATTTTAAACAATTAAAATTGAGACAATTTCATCCCAACATTAAGTTTCAACAAGCATCCATCAAATTGAAACGAAATTACTTTAATTTTAATTATTTAAAATTTAAAATATATTTGTTAAAAGTTTAAAATTTAAATAGCCAGATCTATATTTTTATGTTTAAATTGCATATTAACCTAAAAAAGTATAAAGATGATAGATATTATATCTCCATAATTCAATTGACTCAAAGTGTGGAAAAAAAAACCCTCAAATTTATATACGAGATAACATGTTAGGTACATGTTAGCTTTCAAGCACAACTGAGATTTTAATACCTTTTTTTTTTTTTTTGTTTTTACCCTTTTTGTCGACGGAATTAAAGAAGGGTTCTGCCATAGCTAACCATGATCAGGTTGAAGCCTTGTGGTACAACGCATACTACACCTGACAAGAACAAAAAGTGAGGACAGGATTGCATGGGAAGAGCCAATTCCACTCATGTCAGGTGTTACCTTTCTTCCGTTCTAAAATATAACATGCTTTCAACTACTCCACAAAAATTGATTGCATCATTAAAATAATAAAAATATATTATTATTTTTCCAATATTACCATCTAATTGAAATTAATCTATTGCCTTTAATTTTTTTTCCTTATATATCTTTGTATAATACAATTAAGAAGGATATTTGTAAAATAAAAAAGAATTTAATGTTATGACATTTTGCAAAGTGTCTTACATTTTAAACTAATATTAATACTACCTAGATAAACAGGGTAGAATATGTAATTACCAAACATTTGATCAACTCACAATGTACTGTATAAAAGTGGTGGATGATGAAAGGAGATCTTTAAATACTACTAATTAATTTGTGATTTTTTTATTAATAGTTCCAGTTTTCATTTAAAAAAAAAATACTACCCAGGTAAACAATATTCTATATTTTTTATCACATGAAATACTTCACTGATTCCTTCACTAAGTTATAAGAGTAGGAGATTTGGATTAAGAGAATTTAATACTTTGTTTTATGGGTTTAATTATAGCTTTTTTCTCAAAAAGAAAAAAAAAGAATTAAGCAACTAACTTGTTAAAATAATATTCCCCCATCTCAATTTATAAGATACAATTAAACAAAATCACATACCAATATAATTTATTGAATATACTTTATAGCCTTATTTTTTTAAAAGAAAAATATAAACGTCTAAAAATATCTTTAATTTAATAGTTTCTCTGATTTTTTAGAAATTGAATGTTAAAAAATATAAAGTATTTTTAATCTTTTGAGGTGTAATCATTGCTTTTTTGTTCAAAATTACCTTATTGATAATGACTTTATATTAATTGTAATATGTTTAATAACAATAAATATAAAAAAAAGGTTAATTTAAAAGTAGATAACTACTTTATTGGAGATAAAATTTAATTAAAAATGCCTTATATTTTTTTAACGGAGGAAGTACTTTATTTGTCAAATAATACTCCTCCTTCAAAAAATATAAAATATTTTTAACTAAATCTCACTATTAATAAAATAATTACTTATCTTTAAACTAATCTTATTTTCTTATATTAATCCCTATTAAATAGAATGTTTCACTTTAAAATAAATATAAAATAATTTGTTAAAGACAAGAACTTTTGACAAAATAAAGATAATAATTATACTTTAAAAGATTAAAAATATCTTTTATTTTTAAACACACAACCTTTTAAAAAATACCTTACATCTTTTAATAAAAGAAATGTTAAAGAGAGAAAAAATAATGCAAAGTGTGACATTGAAAAGACATTAATGAAATACCATTTTTATCAAAATGTTTCATATTTTGATAGTAGCACCTTTTACTTTAACTTCCACATGTATAATTGATTGATGATAGTTGGTTGATGACAAGTGAAATTTAGAAAAATCTAATTCCCGAGATAAATAAATTAACACAATCATACACAACGTAAAGTTATGTTTAATATACTTCGGTAATCTCTTCATATTTAGTCAAGTATGCTTCTCCGTTTCTCCTTTTCAGATCGTATAATCATGAGAGAGCCTCAGGTATTAGCTTATTTCCTTTACATAAGAAACCATAATTACCAGTTACAGCTTAAAGCATGAAAACCAGGCGACTTGCACATGGAGAAAAATAAATTACCAGAAGCCAATATATGACCACATTCACGAAGGCAACTTTTACAAAGAACATCATCAAAACAATATCAAAGCAAAGTAAATGCAAGCACCACAATTTTACAATGTTTACCGCTATATCATGGTTTAATCCTCAAAGACCGACCACACTAGCACAGGTGGTCACAAAACCCCCTTCATATCTTATGCCCAAGGCATCACCAGTGGGAAACATAAGAACAAGAAGAAAGGAACCATTATGTCCATTCATAGATCGAATAGATCAGTCTCTGCAGAAATGGATATTCAATAGTAGGGGCTATAACGCATTGGCATTCTGAACCTTGGAACCTTCCTGCAGTTAACAGAGAAGGCTATTATTAAGTCACAGTCGCATTGAGACCTATATCCATTGGGGAGGTAAGAACTCAGAACAACATACCCATATCCATAAGGCGAATAAGCAAAAGGAGGTGCATATGGGGCCCTTCCTCGAAACCCCATAAAAGGATTGGGCCGGCGGGGACGATACTGCTTCATCCCAGGTATGTTGGTCCTCTTGGCTGTTACCTGAAATATCAAGATTATGACATAGGTAGAAATATGGGAAGCAATACATTTCTGTTAAAAGCTAATCAGAAACTCTTGCTCTAACCTTCAACTGACGCCCATGTAGCTCAGATTCATTCAGCAGAAGTGCCTCCTGAACAGCCTCTGCCTCAAGGAACTCCACATAGGCATAACCCTTGGGTTGGCCAAACTTGTCAGTACGAATGGTGACCCTGTTTACTGTTCCACATGATTGGAAATGCTGCTGCACTTCTTCAGGAGTACATGAATAATCTACCTGTAGAGAATTTCAAATCCAAGATACTATAAAATGTCAAGAAAACAATTCTAGCCAAAACCTCTATCAGAAGATAGCCAGAAATTTTGTCATACTATGAGAGGATTTAATTAGGGAAGAGTCATAAAAGGTGGACTGTGAGGGGATTAGGAACAAGGTAAAATTTAGGCAATAGACTTTAGTATCTCAGATAGCTGATGTGTGTTTTACCCTTTATTGTTGTTGTCTATCTTTTCTCTGAAAAGCCATTTTGTCATACTGGCGAATTCATTCGGCGTAAAAGCACCTTTATCACTCGACACAATAGAAAGAGTAGAGAAAAGCTTGGAGAAGAAAAACCATGCCATCAATTGCTCCCCCACCCCTTGCATGGAGGCTTGAATGGCCACAACCACTTAAGTGAGTCATACAAAATTTCTTCCCCTCTACATCTCTACTCATCTAACCAGATGGTTCTCCCCCCCCCCCCCAACAATAATGCCCAATTTGATGTGTCGGAAGTGGTGAAACAGAAAGAAAAATGTCAGGATGTCAAAGAGAGTGAAGCAAGGGGTCTTAGTATCTTATTGCACCAGAAAACTAAGCCAAATTAGTGTCTCATTTGGGGGGAATTAGTGACTGCTGGCCGGAGCAAATAATTGGAAATTAAAACTGAGAAATCATTAATTAGAGGCATGCAACACCCAATAAATCAAGTCTCGCCACCGCAGACAGGTACAAGTAAAAACTGAAGTCCCACATCATGTAGGAAACCTGGGGAATTGTGAGTGGGAGGCCATAAAAAGGAGGGAAAGCAGACTAATGTTACTTCAGTACCATGACAGGTTCATTGGTTTATCAGAACTGGATGAACCATTTAGTTATCTGGTTTCCCGGTTTTTCTGGTCTTTGACCAATTCATTGCATGGCCAACTTCTAAGAGCTTCCAGACAGAACTAGGGTCCAATTCACCAGTTAACTAATCGGACAAGCTGGCCCAGTCTGCTTTTCTAAATACTGTTAATCTCATTACTTCTAATTAAGGTAGGAGGTACTTCTCATATAATTTCTGGAGCATTTGCAAGGGTTGCATCAGAGTCACTCCAGCTTTCTTCTAGGCAATGATTTATATGCATGTAGTTTCTCCATAGTCTCTCAAGAATAAGTAAAAAAAAAAAGGCAATGATTTATATGCATGTAGTTTCTCCATAGTCTCTCCAGAATAAGTAAATTAAAAAAAATAAATCACATTGTCAAAAACTGAGTCCATCATGGATGCAGGAACTCCATTATTTTATATGGAGTTTCTCAATATTCTCCTTTCAGGATACCAATCAATTTAGGAAAAGTTAATTATCAATAACTACTTGTATTGCAGTTCAATAAAAAAACCTTACAAAGATGTCATGCAACTTAAATAAATGTGATTCAGTGTATTAGCCCGTGAATTATGGAAAACAGGACTAGCAAACAAGAATTAAAGAAAAAGCAATGAAATTCCCTCTAATCCCAAAAGAGGAAAAAGGAAAATCAGGACCCCTCACCATAAGGAAAGAACACCTGCATACTTCCAGGCGAAGAGCAGCCTTTTGCTTCGCAATTAGGAAGATGCCCACAGATGGTCTTTGGGATTCTGAAGAATGTGGTCTTCTCAACAGTATGAATGCAGGTTCTTGATCTCCAATCTAATTTCTCTGTTCATTCCATTATATAGATGTGGAAAGTATGCTAGCTGTAAATTTTTACATGTGTTTGTACCTCATTCTCTTTCTATTAAAATATGTATTTTCACAGAACCAGGAACTTAAATTCTAACAAGAAAATTTTTTTTAATTCTTACCCTCTTTTCAATCCTTCCAATTTGTCTTTTTTTCAGGTATATTTTGTATTTCCACTAGATATATTTTTTAATTTTTCTTTCCTCCTCCCACTGCAGCATTAATAAACCAGAAAACTTGTAGATGGCAGTGTGCTGTGCAATAGTTGCTAAACATTTTGTCAAAACAAGATGCCACCATTTAAAAAACAAATATAAAACAAAAAAGTTTTAGGGCTACATTCAACATTAACAATAAAAATAACAAGCCTTATCCCATTAAGTAAAGTTAGTTACATGAATCATACAAAGTATTATAAAATATCAGAATTTGCCAGGAAAGAACGGTGAATTCCAATCCATTAATTATTCAGTAATTGGTTGGAAGGCAAGGAATTCCATCACCAGCAGACACAGAGAACTTTGACAACTTCGCTAAGAAACTCCAACAAGAACCTGCTAAAAGCTAATAGCAGATTGGTATCACTGTGCAGGAAAAGAAACATGTGCCAGGAAATATCGTAACTTGAGAATGGCCACTATTGAGCAATGTAAGCTCCACCTATTGACTTGGTGTTGACAGATTTCTTTTTTTTCCCCCCCAAATCACATGCCAAATTCAACTGTGGCATTTAATTTCAAGCTAGGACCCTCCAGCAATCAATAAGATAGTCCTATTATAGTGCCCAAAGTATTATCATCTGGTTGTTATATCTCCTCATGGTGACTATCAAGAGAAAGATTTTCAGCGTAAAATCCTTGCACTAATTGTTCCACAATCTTCTTATATCAAACTAATTATCTAACCAACAGAATTTTGCCCCTTTTCTCCTCCTTTTTCCTCACCTCTCTCTTAGTAGGTCTTATTAAAATTTACCCTAAGTTCTATCTAGCTTTGTGTTGTGTTATTCCAAATCTGCAGTGTAAAGAAGAGGAGAAAGCCTTAAAATTTATGAAATTTGGATGCAGAACAGATAGTAATGACTGACGAGAGTAAATCAGGTACTGTAGTAGAACAGATAACAATATAGATAACGTAAACAGGGGAAGAGAGCTCACATTGCCTACAAAGACTGACCGAGAATCTATTTCCTCTCTATTGGCCTGACTTGCAGCAGCATTAGCGGGATCTATTAGGAGATAGGAATCAATATAGAAGGAGCACAGGCATATATGTGTGACTAAATGGAAATTACCAATTAAATAAAATACATCTATTGTAATTTTACTAACAAATATGTGATATCCATGCTCAAGGGAAGAAGAATAATAATGGAAAAAGAGAAAACAGAAAATTCCACAGAGAGAGAGAGAGAGAGAGATCTTTTCATCGTTCATTGAAGAGCAAGAAAAGAATGATCTGATTTCCCTCGCTGAAAGAGAGTTTCTTATAACTTATTTTTCTATTTAAATACAGTTTGCTTGAATCAAGTTGAGAACATGTACGGATGCAGTAAGTGCTTGAAATGTCTTAATACCCAGAAGTCAGAACCAAGTTAGAGATTCCTTCCCAGACTTTCCATTACAAACCCAAATTCTTAACCTATGAAGCATGAACAAATCGATTGCATAATGTGTAATGTATTACCATTTCCAAGTAACAAGCAAATTCTCAATTGCCAGTTTATCAGTGAGAACTAGTTTGACCAAAAAAACAATGGAAGAAAAAGAAACTTAAGACAAACAAAAAGGGTATTAGGGATTATATTATCAACGCAGAACAAAGAAATCGAGATAAACTTAGTTAGGCATGGCCAATTCAACCCAATGCTTATACAACACGGATTATTTCACATGAAGAAGAAAAACAGTAAATAAAGGAACTCAATTTTCTCCACAAAAAAGGGGCAATTTACATAAATTAAAATTATAATTAAAAAAATTAAAATAAACTTGTTGCAACAAGACACGAAAGAAAGCACCTTGCACGGAGCCCATTTCCTTCTCCACCTTGGCCTGCATTTCTCGCAGGGCAGCCGCTTCATCTTCCATCTCCTTCAAGCGTTTCTTCATGTCATCCAATTCCTACATCAACCGCATTTCACATTGATGCTTGAATGACTTAGGGTTTTAGATTTTATACAAAAAATGAAAATAAACCCGAGGTTTAGTCACGAAATAAACTTAGATGAGAAGGAAGCGTTACTGCTTCATTGTTATCGGCGCTTTGCATGTCGACGTCGTCATTTTCCATGTCTTCTCCGTTACAGGGAACCACCGGCGCCTGCCTCTGAAGCGGCGAGACCTTTCTGACCTCCCCTGGCTGTTATGTTTTTGCCCCTCCTCTCCTGTTTCAGTGCTCAACAAATGTTTATTCGGGCAAAACGAACTTAACGCCAAGCAATGAAAAATCTTATTTACAGTCATATGGTTGGATTTTCAAAAAATAAAAAACTATTATTTAAAGCTTTATTTTAAATTTTGGGCAAAAAATGGTTTTATTTTAATTTCTTAACTTTTTTATTTAATTTTAATTCATTTTTTACTAGCTTTAAGTTTTATTTTTTTATTAAAAATTTAGGTGAGTTAAATTTTGAAAACACTTCATGACTCACTTATTAATAGAGTTTTCATATCAATATTAAAATTTAATTACATTTATGGACTTGTTTGTTTTAACTTATTTCATGAAAAAACTGTTTAATTGTTAAAAAAATTATTTTATGATTTTTTAATTTTGTTATGTTTGTTTAAACTTTTAAAAATAATCAAAATTTAAAAACAAATTTTTAATTATTTTAAGAAATTATTTTAAGTAGTTTTTAAAAATCATCTAATACTGTAGATATGAGAATATGTTTTAAAGAAATAAAATACATAAAAATATTATAAATTTTGAAATAATATAATAATAAATCATTAAAAAATAAAAAATATCATAAAATTTAAAAATGACTAACTAATAATTAATTTTTTAATTATTATAATCAAACATAGAATAATGTTTATTTTTTATAAAATAATTTTTTTATAAAATTTTTAAACAACATAAAAATTATTTATTTCTTAACCTTAAACAAATAAACCAATAATCTTATATAGGTTATGACCTAAATCCTTAAAACTAACCTTTGAAGTGCTATTCTTTTCTTTTCGATTTTTAGTTTTTACATATTAGGCATAATATACGTGTGTAGTTTCCAGTGCTCTATATGGAAAGGAAAATTGGGCCAATCCAACCATACCAGCCAAACTAAGTGACTCGTAACGGTGTATATACGGGGTTCAGCTGTAGAAGTTTTTCTTTTCTTTTCTTTTTTTAATTATTGATATGGTATCAAATTTTGCAAGCTCGGATATTATAGGTCTTTGGCTCATGCTAATCCAATCACTGCTTGCCAGCTGCCTTTTTGAATCGCATACCAAGAATTTAATCATAGTTATATATTTATGCCTTAAACTTAAACCTCTAATTAATTAAGTTAGATTAACTCCTTTACCAATTGATCCAAGTGCTCACTGATACATGATTTCTAATTTAACAAACTCAACTTATAGTGTATAAACTTACACATTAGCAGGAGCATATTTAAAAAAGAGAAAACATAGCATTTGGTTTTTATAATATTATCAAATTTTATTTTTTATTTTTATAGTTTTTTCTAGTGTTTTTGAAGGTATATGGATTGAAAATACTAAAAAAAATTATAAGAACTAAAAACAAAAATGATGAAATATAAAGATTTAAGATTGTGTTTTTCCTTTAAAAAATATAAACTTACTAAAAAAGTAACACATGATTGGAAAATAACATGAACTTACACTAACTTTGTTAGTCATACTGTGATATGAATATGAACACTGACAGAGTGTAGAGTTTCACTGTATCAAGACTTGTCCTAGAATTATTGGCTTTTTTCATCCAAAAAAAATTATTGGCTTTTTCGCACAAAAATTATATGTTAGTAATCACAACATAGCAACATATAAATTAAAACATCACAAACGTAATATTGCCAAATAATATATAGTTGGTAGAATTCTAATTCAAAGATAATATCATAGTCATTGAACAAGCCAACTTTTAATACATGGGCCTATAGATCAGCCTTGAAATTCGCCATTTTTCTATATTTTTTTAATATCAAATAACATACATGAAAATTAAAGCATGGAATAAAATTGCAACATACTAATAAATAAAACATAAAAAATAAATTTTATAGAATCTAATAAAAAATACAACCTTTCAAAATAATAGTACTTCTCCGTTATTGAAAAATAATTACAATTTTATAATTTTTAAATACAATAATTATGGATAGCATTAAGGTGACTCAAAATTTTAAATTCATAAATAAATAAATAGCTAATGGGCAGACCCAAAAAAAAAGAATAAGAAGAAGAAGAAGAAGTAAAATGCTCTGATTCATTCTCTATTTTACTTTAATTACGTACGCTTACCTTCTATTTTAAAAACTTATGTCAACTTCTCCTAGTATAAATAATTCAAAAACACAAATATTCCTTTTATTTTTAAAATTATTTTCATTCACCTAACCTTTAATTGGCCATTAAGCCATATATATTAAGTCAAAATACCCCTTCTTTAAATATAAAGGTTTTTTTTAATTTATATTTTAATTTTTTAATTATATAAACATATTTATTTAATAACATTTTCTAAAATTTAAATATATAAATTGCTAAAAATAATATTTCAAACACGCAGTTAAAACATTTAATGAAATAAGAATTTAATATAATAAATTATTCAATATAATTTATACTCTCTCTATTAAAAAATATAAGGTATTTTTAACTGAATCTTACCCCTCAATAAAGTTATTACCTACTTTCAAAGTAACTTTATCTTTTCATATTTATCCCTATTAAATACATATAATAAATATAAAGTCATTATCAATAAGGGCATTTTTGAAAAAAAGACAATGAGTGCATCTCAAAAGACTAAAAATGTCTTATATTTTTTTACATCTAATTTTTCAAAAAATGTCTTATAGTTTTGAACGGAAGGAGTATTAATTTTAACAAAAAAAATTAAATTATTTATTTAAATATCCATAAACTTAATTATTTAAAGTTTTTTAAATTGGGAAAGAGACTAGATAGATTGCAAGGGTAAAATAATAATTCTAAAATTTTAATATAATTACAAATAAAAAAATAAGTATTTTAGAATAAAATATTCTAATGGTATTAAAAATTAGATTAAAGTGTGTGCTTTAAGAATAGAAGGAAGATATTTATAATTTTAGCAAAATGAAGGAAATCACCGTATTTTACTTGTAAAAAAACAGCCAAGCCTCTCCCCCACCGCCCAAAACCAATCCCAATTTCCTTATTTGGGGTGCATTTCTTTTGTTTTTTTTTAGACTAAATTGGGATGCATTTTTTGAGTGGTAGTATAACATATCCATTTTAGCATCGAGAAAAAAAAAAACATATCCAATTTAGAAAGATAAATAAGTCAATTATACCACTCCTTTCATCCTAAATTATAAGATAATTTCAGACAAGATTATATGTACTAATAAAATTCAATAATGATACTTTACAAACTTATTTTTTCAAAAAAAATTATAAAGTTTCAAAAATGTCCCTACACTCTTAATCATTTCTTAAATTGTCTTATATTTTGAGATAATGAATTTTTTAAAAAATTATTTTTATAATTTAAGAGGCATAGAGTATTTCATTAAATTATTTATTTATGTATTGATATTGAAATATCAAGGACTTCATGACCCAATGACATGAAACTTGCCCTTAATGGCAGTGACGGAACTCAGAAAATTTTGTTAGTGGGGTCAAAAATATATTTCAAATATTGTTACCAAAAAAATATATCAAATAAATATTAATATTTTTGAAATATAATTCTAGATATATATTAAATTCATAAAATTAAATACATAGAAAATATCAACGGGAGTTCGCTCTACCAGAAAGTGGCTAGTTTCTTTCAATGTAATGAACCAATATTTGAATCCCTGTTAGTAGAGGTTTTTACATTTAGTATCCAAGCATACCTCAAATATGATTGCTTTCAATAGAAGGATACTTGTAAATAATTAAGTAGTAACTATTAATATGTTATGTACTCTTTTTTTAATGAAAAAAATATTTTTCTTTTTTATTAAAATAGTGTTAGCTTTGAATATGAATGAGTAGAAATTTAAAATTAAAGAATATAACCTTGTCATCTTTGACAAAATAAAATTTAATATTTTATTCAAGGAGTTGAAAAAAATTACAATATTTTATTATACTTTTATATTTATATAACCAGTATTAACTCCCCTATGCAATGCATAGGAAGCATATGCTTACAGATGATAAATGAAAACAAAAAAAAGAAATAATGCAAGAAAATAAAATAAATTCAAAGCATGTAATTTCATTGTCTAATATGCTACTTAATCAAGAACTAAAAATATAAGAGTGAATTTAAACAATGCACTCAATTGACAAATGTAGAATAAAGGTCAGGCGACAAAATAGTTAACATAGAAGGGAATAAATTCACACTAAATTACGTGCTTGGTGAAAAGAAAAAAAAAAAAGAAATAGGAACCAATTCATTAGAATATTGCATGAAACACTGCTCAATCATCATCACCAACTGATCTATGCAGATTCTGAGAAACTTCTCTACATACAATATTGGTTGTTTTTTAAGCATGATTACCATTGTTGGATAGCAGTATCTTTAAACTATCAATACTTCTAACCCTAGATAGAGTAACATACAATTGACCATGGGTGAAAATGGGCTTCAGTAGATATACTTCAACCTAATGTAAAGATTGATTTTAACTCTTGTTAATTGTTCCTAGCAAATGAAAGTATGATTGAAAACTATCTTCTTTTCATTTAGTAAGGCCACCTATTTTTAAAAGAATTCATATCCATACGATGTATTAGCACCTTGTTATTAGACTTTAACCCATTCATATTTACAACTTCAATCATAGATTTATCAAGATAACATTATTTACATGCAATCTCATTCCATTTCAAAGACCAAAAGATTGATTAATATTCTTCAATAGCATTATTGGTGTTCCAACTTTCAAACATAACTTGTGAGGAGGCAATCTAAAGCTATTTATAGTGTTTAAAAAATCAATTGTACAAATCATCAAATAAGTTACTGTCTTATATAGATTTGTAGATAGTATCACAACTAAAATACTCAATAGAATCAACAGAAAAAATAGAACACATATGATCATTCAACTAATTCACACATTCAATTATTGGTGCAAGAATTATTATATTATTGAATTAATTATAATTAGACAACCTCTCCACCATATCTGGATATGTTGAAAAGATGATTAAACTGATAGGATCCTTAATCAATTATCAACAGTTTCTGGGGGATCTCAATATCTACTTCTCCATCATGAGGGAGACCTAACTTACCATCACCGACATCCAACAACGATTTGGAAAACCTATGCAACTTATCATGATCATACCTTGACGAAGCACATGGCAATCTCATATATTCTTTTGTCAAATAAAAAACTGTACCATGATTCCAAAAATAAAAAGAACTAATACAAATTTAACAATGATAGTCCTTGTACCTTTAGGTATTATAGAAATGATTTGTCGAAAATCACCACCAAGAATAATGCATTTATCACCAAAAATTTGATTAGAATGCTATCCCTTAACGAAAGATTCAAAGTTACCAATCTAACTTTTAAAAATTACCAATATAAATAATATTAACTTCCTTGATTCCTTGATTGTATGATTGAGAAAATATTTAGGCTGTGAAGACTAAAATTTTTAAAAAGCCCAAGCAATGCAAGAGCAATATTTTAGGGGCGGCAAAGGATAATTTTTGGAAGGGGCAAGTGAAAATTTCCCCAATTTATAATCAAGAGATGTTATGCCCCTATCCCCCTAAACCTAGGTTTATGCCTACTTAACGGTGAAAGATGAGAAGTTCAGTTATCAATCCTACATGGCCTTTATGTATCTAGCTTGCCCTTATATAATTAAATAAAAAAAAAGAGTTGTTCTTCACTTTGGCATCAATATGAGTCTATCATTCCACCTTTTTTATAATTTATAAAAATTTTTAAATAAAATTATATATATTAATAAAGTTTATTAAATTTATTGTATGACATTACTTTTTCAAAACAAAATATAGATTTTTAAAAATATCTTTTATTTAATACTCTATTTATAAAAGAATTTTAAAGAGAGAATATAATGAGAATCTTAACATTAGAAAAGCATTTGTTGGCTTGATTTTTTAGAAAAGGGTTGAGTTGGCCCAATGTGTCAATTTTGGTTCAAATAGCATCATTAATAAAATATTATTTATATCAAAATGTTTTATATTTTAGGATGTAAAATTATTTTTAAAAATATTTTATAAATTGAAATGAAAAGAGTATCATTTATTTGCATTTGTCAAAGAAATTTTAACGATTCAGTGGCATCCCACATTCCATTTTTTTTTTAAAAAAATGGGGTTCTATGTCCTATATGGTGAAAGGGTACATGCAAGAGTGAATGTTATACAGGATAGATTTGTTAGTAAATGTGTTACTCTTCTCTTGGAGAAGGGGTCTGTACCTTAGTCTGTGTGAGCATTTCTATTTGATCTAGTTGGAATTTTTTTTTTTTCCGTTGGTCGATTTTTTTTCCGTTTATTTTTTATATTTTGAATGAGTTTTAATTGACTTTATAAAATTATTTTTTGGATGAATAAAATTATTATTTTTAAAACATGAGGGTAATAAATCCATTGATTTTATTATTATAATTAATTATTCCGAGATCCTTTTAATTTCATTTAAAATTTTAAATTGATTTCATGGTATTATGGAAAAAGGAAATAAAGAATTGGAGTATCAGTGTAGTCTCACATTGATGACATTCTTTACTTCCATTTCTGGTTCCCCTATTACATTCTCTGATTGTAGAATTCTTTCACATTCCCAAAAAAAAAAAAAAAAAAAAAAATTCCGGTTCCTTCTTCCTTGCCTCAAATTTCAGGGTAGAACCCAACAAGTCGTTGCCCAGGCCATTCGTTGCTGTTCCCTCAAATGTAAGTTCCGTTTTATGATCTTGATTTCTTCTGAAAGTCGTTGTGTTGCAAGTAAAAGAATAAACAGTATCTTACGAATGAAATTGACTGTATGTTTTCTGAATTGTGGTTTGATTAACTATCATTGTCGGTAAATATTTATAAAATTGTGTTTGGCGTGGCCCGAATTGCTAGCAGTAAATGCGAATTGTTAAGGAATGGATGACAAATGCTCGTCGGCTAACTGTTATAGTTGGTGCCGATTGATTTAATAATACCTGCTGGGCTGGGTTTTATGAAAGAAATTCTCATAACGATTTGATGTATTAAAAAAAAGGATAATATAACTTTTAGTTCCTAGATTTTCTCTCAATTATTGATTTAGTTCTTGAACTTTAAGCACAACTCAATCCTTGTAGTTTGTTAAGTTAAAGAATTATAGGGACTGAATTGTGCTGAATAAAGAAGGACTGAGTTTGAGTCAATAAAGTATGAGACTGAATTGTTTCGAGTCAAAATTCAAGCACTAAATCGATGACTGAGAATAAATTTAGGGACCAAAGGTTATATTTTCCAAAAATAAATAGTTGATCAAGGCATTTATGGATGGACATATGAGTATGTCTGAAGATTTTTGACACGCTTATGCCGGCTTATAATTAATTTGCCTCATCAATTTATACAAATTGTGACTGCTTGAGAATGTCTTGGTTGTATGCTCCCTTGTAGTTGGAATTTGACACGTCCAAACAATAGCTTACGTAATTTAGGAAGAAAAAAACACAGACGCACACGCTCACTCACACACATTACCCCTGACCACCTTGTTGTCTCTGACCTTAAATGTAACATTGGATGTTTAATTGTGCTAATTTCTTATGGACACCGTTATTTTGCTTGGGGGACAACCAATAGCTGCGACCTTTGGCTTTGCATTCTCCTTGATTTTGGTAATGGCCAAGAACAGAAATCGATAGAGAATGATCATTCCGAACAAGATAGCAAGATCAACCCACTTTGAGTAGCCCATTTCTACTTGCCATGTGTCTGTCAGAATTCCTGTACCACTAATGGTTTTGCTGCCTCCATTGTGATCAGTGGCAAATTTTAGACCTTCAAATTCATTCTTGAACAGCCCTTGGAAGGCATACTTGTGGAATGAAACATAATATAAAGGGTATCTCCAAAATGGCTTGGGGAGATCGTTTGGCAGCCTATAGAAACCACCAAGTAATATCATGACTCCTTGAATTCCACCAACAATGATCATCCCCATAATGAAATTGGGGAAGAAGCTCCCAACAACCATCATGAGGCTCTCAACAGACATAACAGTGGCAAACAATACAAACGCTAGATACAAAAAGTATTCGAATCCTTTGTGTAGCCCAGAGAGGCAATAAACTATTCCCCCAGGTATCAGAGATATCAGTAGCATGTATGGAATAGCAGATAATGTGTTGCCAATTAAAAAAGCAGTAACACCATAGTGTCCATTCAATCTCTCTCGTTTAAATACCTGAGTTGATGGCAAGAAGACATAAAGTGAGTGCAACATATCATAGGGTAATTTATCTAGGGTCATTTAATAGAAGCTCAAATGTAAAAGTGAAATGTTCTTCTTCTTCTTCTTCTTCGGGTATTTCGGTATTACAGGGGAATCTTTGCCTTTTGCTCTGAGTTAATTATAAGGGCACTGCTTTTAGGATTTCTTTTTTATTTTATAATGAGTCAAACTGAGATGAATATTAAGAGATACTATCCTTTCTTAGAAAGCTGATCAACTCACCTAGTTGAAGTGCAATGCTTTGAAACTAGGACATTTATAATTTTTTCTTAAGAAATAAGACATAAGAATAAAATATTACCTTCATTTCCTCTAAAAATGGAGGGAATCCGCCAATAAGGGTTATGAAAGTAAGGACTGAAATGAAAAATGTAAGCAGCGATCCTCTGGCCTGCAATGTGTTGGAAGATATTAATAATAAACTTTGTGCACTAAAAGCCAGGCATAATATGTGTTGCTTTCTTTCTCTTACCTGAACAGATTCAGTACTTGAGCCCATGCTATAGAATATAGTACCCAGACTTATAGCTATTGCAACATATACAGCAAGACGTAACCAGTAATTGCTCATGTCGCGGTACATATGCAGGGAAGATCTTCTTATAAGAATAAGGCACTGAGTAAGGAATGCAGCATGGATTCTCTTTTTCCCTATTGCACCAGAATCCTGTATTTCATGTAGAAGTTAGTATTCCTTGTATCTTTGTCTTGTTAGTCTTTAAATTTTGAACATCGTGCATCCTTGCTGCATTATGCTTTTTGCCATGAGGGTAACACTAAACTTACACTTTCGCTTATTTCTTCCACTTCTTTCAGAATTTGTTTGCAAATTTCAAATGACTTGTAGGACTTTACAAGGATATTAATCGCTTCTTCTGTGGTTACACTTTTACCAAAGCCTTCTTCAGGATCCTGGAAATGATAGAAGTAAATTCAAATTTTCTCAAGTATGAACCAGAAAGTTTGAGTGCTATAGTACTGAAGTGCTGTTGGCTTCGTTGTAGATTCAAGCAAGAGTAAGAAATTTAGTTTACCTGTTCAAAATCCTTGTTTATGATCTTTAAGAAATGATCAGAAGGATTGTAGAGACTTGGGCAAGGAAAGCCATTTGAAGCAAAGAACTACAAGAAATCAAAGTAGAATTTCTGAAGTCAACTCACAATCAGCTTTTGCTGTGCTTATTTGGAAATATTTAATGATGTAGATAAGTAATCTAGTTCCTTACCTCATTTGCCACTGATGCAGGGCCAAAATATACTGTTTCACCAGAAGACAGAAGACAGAGGTTATTGAAAAGTTGAAAAACTTCACTGCTAGGCTGATGGATAGAGGCTACAATTGTTCTCTGAACGCCGTCCCTTATGTTTAGACTGGCAATTCTGCTCATAACATAATAAGAAGCTGCACTATCAAGCCCACTAGTTGGTTCATCAAGGAAGAGAAGTTTTGGTCGTGTTATAATCTCAATGCAAATGCTTAGTCTTCTCTTTTGTCCGCTGCTAAGGCCTTTCAAAGTCCACCCCCCAATCCTTGTATGGATGGCATCTTGTAGACCCATTTCTCTTAGTGTAGAGTCTGCTCTGTCCTTCTTCTCTTCCATGGTCATGGAATCTGGAAGTTGGAGTTGGCATGAGTAATACAAAGCTTCTCCGGCTGTTAAAGTCGACAACATAGCATCATCTTGCGTGACATATGCCTGTTTTTGCATGTGAAGGGAGTGAGGTTAGTGAAACTCTTGCTTTAATATTTAGGACATAGCTTTTTGGAATTTTCTTACTGATGTTCCATATGCTAGTGCTTGTCTGTGCCCGTTGATCAGAATCTTCCCTGTTTGTTGCATGTTTGAACCCAATCTTCCTGCAATAAATCAAAGAATGCATTACGACTGCTTAAGTCTTAAACCAATTAATCAACCCAACAAATGATAGAAAGTTAGTTCCCTTTCACTTAATTCCTCCTTTAATCTTCAGCATCAAGAGGAAAACAAACATGTGATGCCAATAAACACCTTCGAACTTCATGTCTATAGCATGGTCCTTTTTTTTCGTAAAATGGTTTTGTAGTTTTCTTACCAGTTATCAAACTACTCAAAACAGGAGAACTGAACATCAAGATAAAGATCATTCCAACTGAAAAAGTCCAAAACATGCTTGAATATCATTTGAAAGAGGGTGCAATACAAAATCAGTATCATCCATCATATAACTTGCTTTGAGATTCATTTACAGATGTGTCTTAAAAAAGTGGAACCTGCTAAAGCATCAAGGAGTGTGGTTTTGCCGCATCCTGAAGGACCCATTATAGCCAAAAGCTGTCCTGGTTTGGCACACCCAGTCAGACCCTGCAATATTGGCTTTTTATTCGTTCCACTTCCAACGGTCACCCACAAGTCCTCCCATGTCATTGAAACCCCACCATCCCCTCTCTGAGTTCCTTTGCTGCTATCTGTTGGCTTGATAGCTGTGTTCTCAAATGGAGTGATAAAGTCTAGACTGGTTTGTAGTTGTACAACTTTAGAGCTATTATCTGGTGCTACAGGTGGATGAAGATGGGAAGCCATGGAATAGAAATATTTTCTGTGTGTCTGTAATAGATATTTGTGCTGTCTAATTATTCTGAATTGCAGAGGATGACTTTATAGGAGCAGCTTGTGGCTGCTAATGACAACTAGTCAAGGTAGACAAGGTGTGTGCCACGTATATTATACTCCATCACATAAATTTGCTCAAAACCCAACTAAAGCTACAAAAATTTGCCAGTATCATTTGTTGATTTCCTAAGTGATAGCAAAAAATTATAAGTGATTGGCTTGCAATTCACAACTGACTCTGGTAAATTTTCAACTAACGTCACAAATAATTCCAAATGTATTTTTTTGATTTCCCAAGTGATCTATATGTATATTAACAATAAAAAATCAAGATTCACAATTGATTTACGTAAATTCCCAATTGACATTGCAAATAATTTTAATTGTATTTTGTTGATTTTCTAACTGATTATTTGCATTCTTTTAATTACAATTAAGGATCATGATTTATTATTGAAATTTTAATAGTTTAGGATATGTAATGTTGTTAATGTTTTTATGGAGTCCGTAATTATTACTCTCTCTCTCACTCTCTCTCTCTCTCTCTCTCTCTGTGTGTGTGTGTTTCTTTTCTTTTCTTTTCTTTTAAACCACAATATCATCTTTTGATAGCAAAATCATGATTACTAAAAATAAGACCCTGGATGAAATCCTTTTTAGCAGAAGTTGCAAATGAAATGACCTGGACCAAAAAGTTTAAAAAAATGAAAATCAATTAAAAAAACCAGTCAAAGGAACTCTAGCGAACTCTAGTGACAATTCTTTGCCCAGACCTATCTATATTGACTACTTGGCAAGTGTTGAAAGTTCTTTTGGTAAACTGTTTCATAAGGTATTTTGTTTTCTTAGTGCTTGCTTAAAGTTTTCCTAAAGTATTTGTTTTTTATTTTTTAAGTTAGTAAGACTTAGTATTATTCCCTTTAGTTGAAAGAGATTAATACAATATGATATATATGGACCCTCAATCGTTTTCATCTGAGCTTCAGGATCTGATATTTGATAAGCTCAGATGCATAATGATACAAGCAAGTTCACGCTATGATGGCCGACCACAAATATTGAGACCGTTCTTGATTCGCCTTCTATGAGAATAGCCTAGTGAATCCAATAATTCCCAAACTGAATTATTAACTACAAGATGTACGATGCATGAAATATTAAAAGATGAGTGTGCATTAAAAGAAAAAAAAGATGTTATAAATTAAAATGAGTACCATGTGTAAATTGATTTAATTTTTTAAAAATATTTTATACTTTAGTTTAATTGCCACAATCAGATTTTATCCTCATAACGAAGTTATAATTATTTGAATCAATCATAGGAACAACATTATAGTTTGAGGAATATGACTTTTCTTGACCTGCCTTCTTTGTTTGTTTGTATTAATTTTTTGAAATGTTTTTTTATTGGTAATGAGAATTATAATTATAATTTGTCACGTTAGCGAGCCTTACGCATGTGAGATCATACAAGTCAATGACTAGAAGGCACTCATTGCGACCCACTAGTCCGCATTCTAGTTTGTTTATATTTTATCAAACATTTGATTGCATAAAAAAAATATATTAAATGAAGATTGGTCTCGTTAATTTAATTACCGTCGTTTTCACTGTAGTTCTACAGTGATTATACACACAAAATTAAACCAACTTATTAAAATCTATGGGGCCCGTAAGGATAGATATATTGGGTGAAAGTCTTTACTCAATGTTTAATTTAAATTAATTTTTATTGATGTTTGGTTGGAGGGGGATGAATGGAAGTAAAGGCGAGGATAAGGTTTGAAAAATTTGATTTTTTAGTTGATTGAATATAAAAGAAGAAATAAGCAATGATTTAAAAAGGGATTGAATTGAACAATCGGACCGTCAACTGGAGGTTTGGATTAAGAAATAGTTTTTATGATTGAGTTGGATTAGATTGGATTGAAGTTGAATTGCTATTGAGTGAAAAACTAAAATTGAACAGGGAACTAGATTGATTTTCAAAATGTTGAATGATTTTAAACATAATATTAAAAAAACTTAAAAATTTAAAATAGAAAAGTTAAAAAAATTAGATTCTATTAAAAGCAATAGAAAAGTTAAAAAAATTAGATTCTATTAAAAGCTAACTTTATTTTTGAACAATTTACATGCATCAAATATAATTTGAGACTATTTTTTTTATAAAGATGTTAACAATTCAGTTGCAAATATAGATATTTTTGAGTTTATTTATTTCTAATTTAATTAAGATCTACATATATTTGATAAGTTATAAAATTATAATTTATAATATTATTAATTTACAATCATGTTATATTATTTTATTAATATATTATAGATTTTTTTGTATTTATTTTATATATATATTTAATATTATTTTTATTTAATTATTACGTTATTGATTTGACTATTGATTCAATCATAAACCGTGAACCACAAGACTTTTCAGTTCAATATTGCACTGAAAATATTGGAGATAAGATGCAAAATAATAAATTAAAATTTTTAACCTTACTTATGATTTTTTTTAAAAAAATTAAACTTCTTAAAATATTTCATTCTTTTTTTCTTGTCGGGTAAAATCTAGCTGCATGAGTAACCTTTAAGAACTTTTGTAGCCGTGATTCTTGAGGCTTATTCTAGTTTTTATTAAGCATTTTAAGATTGGATTCACATAAATTTGTTTTCCTCCTAAAAAAGTATTGAATAAATCTTCAAGTATGAAAGCTCCATCAGATGACATGCTACCCAGACTTAACGGCATAATTAATCCTTGTTTCCAGTTAAATGTTGTTAGTCTATTCCTTGCCAAACAGGAAAAAATCAGACCAATCAAGAGAGGAAAACCAAAACCGTTAATGATAGAGGCAATGAAGAACACGTAGCAAATAGTCATATTCAACGCAACTGATTAAGGAAGTCGAAAATATACATACACCAATGAAGTCCCATCAATGCCTAAAACAAATTTGACAAAAATGGAAAAGTGCAAAATGAGAAGCAAAGAAAAGTAGAACTGCAAGAGTTTTACTCAAAACAAATGCCTTGCCAATATTGACCAATGATCAGTTTCCTTACCATCTAAAATCTTCTTTCACTGTTTCTGCTAAGCTCGTTTGGCATGTTACACGTAGCCAGTCTGTCATGATGTATTATATCCAACCTTTTGGGAATTATTAGATTCACAGTACAAGAAATTTGCCTTCCACATAACTATCTCGTATCACCAATTTAAACTCGAAGATTATAAGGGTGTTTGTTTTAATCATTTTATTTTTATTTTTATTGAGTATAGTATCATCTTATTGAAGACAATTTTATTTAAGACACAGATATTAAACGTAAACATCTCTTTCAACTGAAAAATTTAAATTTTGGTTTGCTATATTATGAGAGACTAACTCAGTGTTTTGTTTTTATGTTTTGAGAAACCGAACCGGGTGAATGGATAAATTGATTCATGTTATTTTACGTTAGACCCAATTTCTGGTTTTGAATTTAAACTTCTAATATTGTTCATTCCTGGTCATGTTATGTTATACCACTAAAGCCTAGCTTTTTTTGTTTGACATCTAGTCCAACTTTTAAAACATTAATTTTTTTTCTTCATATGTTTGAACCAATAAATTAAAGGTATCCAATCTCTTGTATTCGACACAACCAGTATAGACAACATTGACATGCCAAGAAAACTTGTTACACAGTATTATAACTCGGATTTTGTACTGTCATCATCCATGTTTCATCCATACTTCATACTTCAGAGTGATTTGACAGCAAACAGTTAAAAGAGGGAAAAAAAGACACTGATTGATGCACAGATCAGATGTGATAGAAAGGGTTCAATTATGAAACTTCACTCATATAGGTCTGATAAGGATGCATGCATGAGGTTACAAGTTGACTGACACAGTGTGTGTTTCATGTAGGTCATACCATTGTTGGAAGAAACCAATAATGCTCAAATAATTCTGCTTACTGTGTTGGTTCAAAACTAACAGAACAAAAAATATGATGTAGACTTCTCATCAATCTCCACTCCAAATGTTCTTAAATGATTGATTCTGCACAGATCCCTGTTTGTTTTCGGTGCCAATTGTGTTTTTCCGGTGAACCAACAATCATAAGATTTTCAGAGATGTTTGGATTTTCAATATGGATTGATGCTTGATTCTGCCTTAAGAACGCAGGTTTATGTTATGAGAATACCCAATGGTGTACAAAATCGGAAAGGGTTTCGTTATATGATGTTTATTGATTAATCCTATCCTAATGCCGCGTGGAATCAAATAACTCATCAAATCCGCTTGTGAAGGAATAGATCTTAAATCCAAATGGAATATCTTATCATTGTGTTTGAATTAATAAAAATTTAAATTTCACCTTTGAATATGGGTTTAAGCTAAATCTCTTGTTTGGGTATCTAAAAATTTAAAATAATTGACCCTAATGGGTTCAAATATAAAAGGGCTGACCCTTGGGCCATATTTATGTTTTTAAAAAATTAAAATAAAAAATAAATTGAGGAAAATAAATGGGAAAATGACAATTAGGGATTTCATAAGAATGTTAATGAGAATTATAGGCTCTAAATTATTAAAATTTTAATAACAGATTATGATCTTTACTTGTAACAAGTTATCTTTTGTTGATTAGTTTAAAATTTATAATGGACTTTTGTAAATTTTTAACTAATGTTACAGATAATTTCAAATGTATTTAGCAAATTTTTCAAGCAATTTATTTATATATTAACATATAAAAAATTATAAATAATTAGCTTGTGATTCACAACTGACTCTCCTAAATTCATAACTAATGTTATAAATAATTCTAAATTTATTTATTTAATTTTTTAAGTGACCATCTATATATTAATGGTAAAAAAATTGAGATTCAAAACTATCTCTCGTAAATTTTTAACTGATATTATAAATAATTGTAATTATATTTAGTATATTTTCCAGCTAACTATTAACATTTTTTTAATTATCATTAATGTTTTTATGAACTTCCTAATTATTATTTTTTAAAAATAAATCCTAGCTCATTGCACCATACACAAATAAACAAGACACTGCACGGCGGAGACTACCCTTTATTTTTTTTTTTTATGATGATGATAATGACAATCCTAATGATGACGTTGGTGATAATGTTGCTAAGTGTTTGGTCTTTTTCGTGTT